AGATTGCCCTAATTTGGTATCACTACCAGATCAAGGGATGGGTCGCCTCATCTCCTTACAGAGACTGCATATTTCAAATTGCCCTAATTTGGCATCACTACCAGAAGGGATTGGCAACCTCACATTACTCCAGCACCTCGAAATTTCGAAGTGTCCTAATTTGGCATCACTACCAGAAGGGATTTGCAACCTCAAATCACTTTCTGATCTTATAATTGGAAGCTTCCCCAATCTGACATTACTACCAGAAGGGATCGGCAACCTCACATTACTCCAGTCCCTCCATATTAGCAATTTTCCTAATTTGGCATCTCTACCAGAATGGATCGGCAACCTCACAGTACTCCAGCACCTCCGAATTAGTGATTGTCCTAAATTGGCATCACTGCCAGAAGGGATCGGCAACCTCACATTACTTCAGTCCCTCCATATTAGCAATTTTCCTAATTTGGCATCTCTACCAGAATGGATCGGCAACCTCACAGTACTCCAGCATTTAATCTCAAGGGTTGGTGGAGGAATGAAACAGCATCAGCTTCAGCTTCTTCATTTCCTTGTCTTTCTACTTTAATTATAGGTGATTGTCCTAACCTAACTTCCATGCCGTTGTACCCAAATCTTGATAAACTGCTGTTAGAGAGAAGCAGCTGGAAGGTCCTTCCCTCCTCCTCTGTTCTCTCCAAATTAAAATATCTGGAGATTTGCAGCGTTGGGGATATAGAATACGTGCCAGAAGATATTGGCAACCTCACATTACTTGAGGAGCTTGAAATTAAAGATTGCCCTAATTTGGTATCACTACCAGATCAAGGGATGGGTCGCCTCATCTCCTTACAGAGACTGCATATTTCAAATTGTCCTAAATTGGCATCACTCCCATAAGGGATGGGCAACCTCAAGTCACTTCAGTTGCTTAGGATATGGGATTGCCCTAATTTGGCATCACTCCCAGAAGGGCTTCGTTGCCTCACCTCATTAAAAAGTTTGTACATTTGTAAATGTCCCATCTTAGAGCAAAGATGCCAGAAAGAAACAGGTGAGGACTGGTCCAAGATTGCTCACATCCCAAACATCAGCATTGGTGCGTTTTTCTAACTAATTTCTTTCTTTTGCATTCACACTTTCATTCAAATGGCAACCAATCTCAGCTTGTTCATTTTCTTCTTTTTCAGCTCCATTTTATTATTATGACTAAGGGTTGGGTCAGTGGAGATTGGGCCCCCACTAAAAACTGTTATGGCTTGATTGTGATTGTGCAACAGCAGGTCACCAAGAAAGTGGTATGTATGTATTAGATGATGAGCCCTTGATCCTAACATTGTTTTGTTGTTGGTATGTTCACATGATAATAACATTCGGTTTTGTTTCTTATTTTTCTTTCATGGATATGCAGTGATTAAAAGAAGAAACTGATTAGGCATCCTGGCTTTGATCATACAAGTGACTCCATTGTACATGTGATGAATTTAGGTAATCGTAACTCTCTCAAATTTCCTAATGGCTTTTGAAATTGTGAAAGCAGTTTGTATTTTGTCATGATGGCTGATAAGTATGAATTAAATTCAGTTACTTCCCTTCATTATTCATCTTTTGGATCGGCAACCTCATATTACTCCATGAGCTTTCAATTATGGATCTGCCAAAGCGTAATAAAAAATAGTATAATATTTATTTGTTATTTGTTATTTGTTACTTATTAAATACTCATATATATATAACATAATAACATAGTTTATAGCAGATTAAATATGTAGATTTGTTCTTTGTAATCTATTATTAAAAAGAAGGCTTTTTCCAACAGTTGCTCTCTTTATTAAATTGAAGGACCCAATGCATTCCTCTCCACTTCTGACCCAATTTCAAAGCTCCCAAGTCTTGTTGGGCACTTCAGCAGTTGAGAGAGCTTCAGTATTCCAAGTGTGGTATCTTGTGCTGCAGTGTCGAGCAACGTTCCTCTGTTCTGATTTCGTGTTTTTAAATTTATTTTTTGTTTTATTTTGTTTTGTTTCCTATTCCGAACCAGA